CAAAGAAATTCAAAATGAAATTCAAATAATATTAACACTACTCCATTCAAAACTTTTTATGAATTTGCGGAAACTACTAAATTTAGCCGGTGATTTTTGGTACATATGGTCACTTTTTATTAACTGTTCATAATATAACAGAGTTTTCAAATATACAACGAACTTTTAAATATGTGATGAAGTAAAAGACAAAGTTTTCTGTTCGTAATATGTAGCTGTTCGTACCAAATTGTAATATGTATTATCTATTGTGGGTTTAAATATAAAAAATTATTTCTCTATTATTTATTTTTAGCCAAACTTTTTTGATATAAAGATAAAATCCTGACCGAGCCTTTTCTTGTCAGAAAAATTATAAAGTAATATATTTCATTCATTAAAAAAAATCTAAATTTCTACCTACATTAATTTTCGTAAAATTATTAAAAATAAAAAATAATTTAAAAATTCAGAAAATTTTTCTTAATTATTAATATTTAAGTTGATTAGTTGAATAAGGTAAAATGGAAACACAAAACTTAAGTCATATATAAATTAGAAAAGGTTAAACTTTAACATCGTTGAAATATTTATGCAAACTATTACACATATGTACATAAATATTTAGTATACATACGTAGAATGAAAAACCTGATGTGAGCAGCATATAACCGACTCAATAACTTTTAAAGTGTGGAATATAACATGATCCACGATATCATCAAACTGTGCTTAAAACACTTACTTTAAATTCTATTAACGTTCATTAAATAAGTAGCCTTTTAGGCAGCCAACCTATAAAATTGGAAATTTCGTTTTTAGAGGAGAATCACTTTCTGTGATCCTGCTAAATTTTCTAATTAATTTCGTTGACAACCAAAACTTCCACGCTAAACTAGAAGAAATTCCGTCAATTAGTTCCTTGGATATACTAAGAAGTATAAAATCAGCCCCCAATGAAAATTCAGTTTTCCAGCAATTATATTCCTAAAAATTTTATAAGTTTACTATATTAACATTCTAAAGTTAAATCTTTAAAAAAATTTCAAAGAATTTGGTCTATTGTGTGTATGAGCAAAAATTTCTAAATCAAAATAAACTCATAAGTAACTTCTCATGTAAAACACTTTCCTGCAGTGGAGAAGTGCGTTGCTGTCGAAAATTTGCCATGCGAAATTTGGTGCTTTCTTTATAGGGCGCGATGCGGTTGTTTATTATATGTTAAGGTATGGATTAGACACGAACTATTCTTCCAGAATATAACAGTCTATTCTTCCAGACCCGAAAAATGCAAATAACAAAATGTTAAACAACTCTTTTCACTGAACGAAATTTTACATCGTTTTCCCCAAGTCTGCAGTTGATCAAAAACTATTGATTTCTGTATCGGGGGAAAAAACCGGAAAGCAGCAGACTATAGGCCCACGTAAAAATGTATTGCTTGAAACGTGTTCACAGTTTGACTACACTTGAAGCTCTCAAGGCTGTTTTATAAATAATTAATTACAGTTTCAACTTTTTGAAAAGCATTTTTACAGGACTAACTTTAGTTCTTTTTTTTGGTTAAATTTATACAAATTTAAAAACTTAAAAGATGTTTATATTTTTTTATAAACCACTTTTTAGCACTAATTAGTACTAATTTTTACCGACCGTATTGTGTGTACATTAGGTATAGGTTATGTGATGGCAACAAATTTTGCATATCGAGTTTTCGGTGGGAGTGCACTTCTCCATGGTAGGGAAGTGTAAGTAAACTATTTTTAGCAACTGTCGGTCTGTCGGTCTGTGTGTGCACGCGTGTATCTCTTGTTCGGCTGAACCGATTTGATGAAATTTTTGGGATATTGGGATCAACTTTTGGGATATATTAGACCTCAGGAACTGTACTTTTTAGCAGGTCTGTTTTACATTTTTGGCCATTTTAAGAAAATATTCAACAGATTTACTTCAAATTTCATATATAAACTTCGCTCGGCCGTCTGCGAAACCTCCTAACTTTTGGAAGAAATAAGGAGTCGAAAGCTGAACGTTTACTAGGGGCCAAATATACATTTTTGCGTATTTCATTGAAATTTAATATTTAAATTCTTCGTACTAAAGCAATGAACATATAAATTTTTTGGAAAGATCAGGGCTCGAAAACTGATCTGCGGGCCGATTTTACATTTTTCACCATATCTACGGAACGAATTGATGGAATTTCTTGAAATTTGATATTTGAGTTCTAGTTGTTACTGAAACTAACTGGCGAGCATTTCAGTGAATTCGGGTAGCACACAGCAAAACTCTACTAAGAGTCAAATTTACATTTTTCTAGGTATGCTAACTATAAGGTTACTAATGTCCCTAAAATTGGAAAGAAGTATTTAACAGACATTTTTATAATATTCTGTAACACTTTCACTTAACTAGACAATACACATTGCGGTCGGTTATGTGCTGACCACATCAGATTTTTTTTACTTGTGATGTTTTTCTCTTAGCAAGTTAGGTACAAGTCTGAGATTCAATAATAAGTGGTTTATTTCATTAGAACAAAAAAAAATGTTTTCTACCTTCTCCCTTTTCAAAGTTTTTATTTTATTTTTATTGAAACGGTAATGGTTTTAAGAATCGTATAAAAACTAAAAATTAACATTAAATGTCTTGATTTCAAATACCGGTATCTTCACAATTTTTCAATTAAATTTTTGTTCTGATCCGGATGGTGTGCAAAAATTTTTATTTTTGCATATAATTTTGATCTATTAATGGGTTTTGCATGCGCTTAAGCGAAAATCGCTACTTACAAACCATTTTGTTTGATCCAAATTTATTTCATTTTGTAACACAAGAATTTTATTATTATTTGTACATTTACGTACACATAGATGTTAAACATAAACACGAAAATGAATAAAATAAATATTTTCCTTTATAATTAAAAATAAAAAGTACAATAAAAGTTCATTATAAAAATGTTATCTGCCTAAATCAGGTTCGATTTTTTAAAAAAAAATATTGGCATATGTACATACATAAAATGTGTATATGTATGTATATTTTTATAAATGTAATTATTATGTACATATGAATAATATTTATGCACATATAAATATGAATATTTATACATAATATGCAAAATATTGAATAGAAAATTAAAAAACATTAACAATAATTACAAAAATTAAATAATTTTAGTTCAACCAAGAACAGCAATAAGAATAAAAATAAAATATTATGTGAAACGTTCTAAGCAAAAAACAAACACTTAACAGAACAAAAACAGCGTAGATTTTCGTTTTTTGTGGAATAATAAAGAATTTAGTATGAACTATCACAATAGCATCGCTGCATATAAAGAATATACAGTTACATTTTAAAAATTTATTCGCCATTTATGATATTAACCCAACTTTTTTCAGTACATCTACTTATATTGCAAAATGTTATTTTGTAATTTTGAAATTCAGTTTTGTTGCACTCAAGTTTTTATAACGAATTTTTTTTTTTGTAATTAGGCATGCAAAATTGAAGCTTACATTATAAGCAAAAACATAAAGTGTAATATAGGTACATATTATTATTATAAATTTATTTGCGTATTTTATTCATTGAACTGCCGTATGCATATTATTATTCTCTCAAATTCTTAAAATTCCAAATGCAGCGGTACATAAAAATATTATTATCTACTAATATTTGCTGGCTTTTGCCAGCAAATTAATATCACCAATTTTGACAGTTAAATGTCACTTTAAATATCACAATATTTTCGACCGTAAATGTGGTACATCAAATATGTGTTATGATATGTCGCTCCAATTAATTTTTAATTGCGAAAGATAAATCTGTATACAAAAATGTGAAATTCCCGGTAATTTTTAAAATTTCATTTATATTAAACTGGAAGATTTTACAATTACAAACTAGCAGTATTTTTATTTTAATAACAGTTTTGAATGATTACAAACCATCGTTCATAAAATCACAGTCTCGTAATGTTATAATATTATATTTTAGCAAATTTTACACTTAAGAATCTCTAAAGAAAAATTTATAATATTATTTTTGCAAAGTAATGTTCACGTCAAATGATCAAAATCAGAGTTAAACTAGCGAATATTTTTTACAATCCCATTTGCATTTTGCATACGACAAATTTATATTCAACAAATAGACATTCTAAATTAATAAGGAGAATAAAAATTCACGAAAAATTTTTAGAAACGCATGCAACTCTTTTAGACCATTTTTAATATTAATGAAGAACTTATGCAAAACAATGTTAAATTGTAAAAATTCTAATGAAACAAAATTAAAAATTTAAATTTTAAATTTATAAAAGCCGGTTCTGAAAAATTTTAAAAATTTTTCAGCAATTTCATAGAATTTAAAAATTAAAGAATTACTTAATCCAAATTTTACAATTTAATAAATGTAAAGCAGATTGTAACTAGACTTTACAAAATAAATCTCATAACACAATGTACATACCTATACTTCCACATATCATTTCCAAAATAATTAATTTTTAACTCTTCTTGCAATCTCATAAACACAATATTGTATATAATTTTATTAATTAATACATAAATTTTAAAATACCTTCTAAAAAAAATAAGCATGCATATATTGATTTATAGAAACATTATACTATAACATTTATTTTGCTGCGCTCTCATTAAAACATAATTAAATCTTAAAATATTTTTTATGAAAAAAAAAATCAAATTTAAAATTATTTTTTATTTCAACATAATGAAGCTTTTTTGGTATACAAATACCATATTTTTTAAAACATATAGGAAAACATAAACTTTATATCAACATACATACAAAATTATGCACATTAAAATAAAATTATGTATAGAAAATATTTTCATATAATGTGTATGTATGTACACATGTAAATGTATGTATGTAAAGCAAATTATTAAAGGAAAATTATGTACACATAGATGCAAATAGAAAATTTGTAGAATGACTAAACTCTTTTTTTTTTTTGTTTTGTGTTTTGGTTATTTTTGTCTACATACCCTTGGTAGTTTTTCTCGAGGGAGTTCAGAATTATCGCAAGGACCATCACCACACTGAAAAAATATAGAAAAAAATTTGAAAATATTTTTTGATAATTTTTCATCATCGCTATTTTCTATTTTGTTTTGGTGTCCTGATTAATGTGAAAATAATTATTAAAAACAACAACAAAAAACAAAAATGAAGAAAAAGACATCTTTATATGAATTTTTGGTTTTTCTTTTTTTATGAATGTATTTTTGATTTTGTTGTTTATGTTTCGAAAAATAATTCATCTAAATTTTTTTTATCTGTTTTTTTACTTTCACATCAAAAGAAAAAATTACTTTTTCTTTTATTTCTTCTTCTTTCACAAAATCCTTTTTTGAAATAATATTTGTGTGTGTTCGTGTATGTGTTTGAGGAAGGTAATTGCAAAATTAAACCAAAAAAATTATGTATAATTTTCTTTTATTTTTATTCCTGGAAACCTTACATATTATATATATTGCAAAAAAAATTATTAATGTTAGTAAATTATGAATATTTTATTGAAACAGCAAAATTTTTTTTTAATAAAAATTTAGTTGTATGATATTATAAAAAATTGTATGTAAATTTGTAATAACAAAAAATTTAAGGTTCAGATATAGCACCCAATATGATTTTCTTAAATTTCTAAAACGTGTTCAGAAGAAAAAACGCTTTTAGTTTTGAGCTCTTACAATAGAACAGTGGCTTTCGAATCACTTCAGTTATCTTTGATTTTTTTCTTAAAATTCCTAACAGAAATAAAAAAAAAGTTTGTTTCTAAATCTTAATGCCTACAATATATAATATTCGATTTGAAATAACGTATGTATAGAAATACCTCCAACGTTTGAATGGTAATTAAAATGCAGTATAATCGCGCATATTATGAATAACAATTCTTATTTTTCTTGGTCTTTGAAATGAAACTACAATTTTTAATTTGTTCGATTATATTTCTCTTTTTTTCTTAATTCAATTCAAATGTGATAGTAATCTCATTAAAATTAATTAAATTTCCAAATTGCTATAAAACAGAGTTCAAAAATTTTGATATTTTGCTAAAGAAAATATTAAATGCATAGAGGTAATCTTTTCTTTTTACTGTTCTCAAAATTTTTTTGTCGTTAAATAAAAAATGGGATACGAGTATTATAAGGTGAATAATTCAAAAACTCCTTAAACATATTATAATATAATTTTTAACTTATTTGCCGAAATATTTTACCTAACGTTTTACCTACCCAGGTCTTTTCTGGAAACCAAGCAAGGTGTTAAACAAAACAGAACCGAGCCAGTATGCAGTATAACAATATTTTCAAAATTTTGATTCCAAAAAAAATTACAAACATAATCATGTCATTTATAAATTTGATTAAATTACTTTTAACTAATGAAAGCGTAATCTGCTACCTTGAATCGGACATGATAATAAACTATAATCAAAAATAACCTAAAACTTATTTAATTTTACCAAAATATTGTAACAATTTGTAGGATTCTGTTTAAGTTTGCTTCTAGTTCACTTGTCATAAAAAATTATTCAATATGGTTTCATATTAAGAGTTCGAAATTATACATTCAAAATTGAAAATTTCCTACAAATTGAACAAAAGTTCCTACTTAAAATTCAATAACATTTGGTTTTTTGTACAGTTAGTGAAATTATTATAATTTAAATATTATATTTCAAATATTTTATTTTATATTTTTTTAAGATTTTCTTTCATAAAAATCGATAAATTTTATTTATTATAATTATATGAAAGAAATAAAACAAAAAAAAAAGTTATGTATTTATTTAAGTAAATGAAATGGAATATCAGCATGTCACGTCATAATGTACTTTTTTTCCTTGTCTCTACTATATAGTTATAAATATGTGTACGAAAGCATACAGCATCCAAATATAATAAGAATAATTTATTTAAACTGCTATATTTTATACAATACGTCATTTAAGTATATTACAATATATTATCACATAATAATATTATGTATATGCATGTGTATCGTACATATCTATATTATATACTTATATACGAAAATGACTATGACAATATTTACCTTGGTTTTTAAAAGAATTCGATATCAATAATAATGAGGATGGGGGTATCAAATATGAAAAGAACTATAGTAAATATTTTCAATCTACGGACCATATTTTGTGAACTTTAGTATATTTGGTATATTTAGCATATTAAGATAAATGCCTGTATGTATGTATGCAAATATTAAAATGGAGTTGAAAAAAAAAATTTTTTTTTATAAAACATCCAATATCTTTCATGTTATTAATGAACTTTACTTATATGTACATATACAAATATAACTATATGTATAATATTATGATCAATAATAATATTATAAAGTATATTGACGGAAAATTGATGGAAAATATTAGTATAGAAAAAATGATTTATTACCAGAATACCTCATTTTCGCTATATATGTATTTATATACAGATATATACACTTAAGATTTACATCAAATTTTGTTCAGTTTTAGATTTATGAATACAAGTAAAAATTTTTCAATGTTTTATTAAACTGATACACTGCAAAAAATTATCATGTAAAAATTACAATAATATATTGAAGAAAGTTAAAAACCACTATTCATAAAATATAAAATTGTTCAAATAATGAGAAACAAAAAAAAAATTAAAACAAATTTTTTTACCCACTTGTAAAGTAAATTAATAAAGCTTAACTTATTTCATTTCATGAACTCGATCGAAGAACTACCCTTCGCCAAATAAGTTTAAATATCATAACATAGGTACAATTGGATATTGAACTGTAAACATATTAACAAAAATTTATAAACAAACTTGTAAAGTACAACAAAAACGTGTCAAATAGAACAAGCTTGTAAAGTACAATAGAAACGTTTACAAAAATTCTTAACCTTTATCAATTAGTAATTAGAAATAAGCACAATTAACTCCAAATGTTACAGTTTTTACTTTTATTGAATCTTAAAATTCTAAATCTAATTTTAAAATTAATCTGGATCAAGTAAATAGTATATTAAAAATTTATAACAACAATACTAATTCACTCAAATTCGTAAATCGTCTTCTTAGAAAAAAAAACTTTCATTGTATTTAAAAATATCTAAATGAAATTTATGGGACTTATATTAAAATATAAATATATAAAATATACTGTATATGTACAGACATCCATAATGTTTCAATAATATCCAAATTTGATTGATTTATCACAGGATAAGTAAAGTCCTTAATAGCAAATAATAAGAATAGCATTAATTATTATTTTTTTCTTTATAGAAAATTTAAGAATTTTATTTTTAGTTGGCGGCTTATATAATTTTGGTGAACCATGTGTTTTTTTTTTCAAAATTAAATAATAAAAACAAAAAATAATAAAATGAATTAAAAATAAAAATCTCTTCCATTAAAATATTGTCATTGAGTAAAATTAATAGAAATAAAAAAAGAAGAAAATTAAAAATAATGGAAAAACAATAGATTAAGGAAAAAAAATAATGAAAATAAAAAAACAAAAATCTTTTATATTTTCTCCTTATCAATGAATTGCAATTTTCATTTTCCTCACTTTCCCTCACATAAAAAATTTTTATATACAAAATTGTTTTGCACAAAAACTAAAAGTAAAAAAAGAAACTAAATAAATAAATAAAGTCACTTCTGGCTATCCCTATCATCATTAGATTCTTATATGTGGGTTTTGCAGAATTTTCATTTATAATACACAATAAAAGGAAAAGAAAAAAACTTTGAACATTAAGATCATTGTTTAAACCTATAATACCAATTAATATTATATAGCATAAGCAAGAAAATTTCTAGGATACTAAACAAATATAATATACGCATTGTTTTAATACTTATTATTTATGAATGTATGTATGTTTGTTGATGATTATAATTCTAAAAGATAATAATATAAATTTTATAATAAAATGAATAAAAATTATTATTATAGTATGTGGGCGTCGAAATGTATTAGTGAATCTTTTTCTTTTATATATATATTGTATATTATGTACGTTTGTTAAATTTATTATATAATTTTATATATTAAGTCAACAAGATATAATAAAATATAAATTTATACTTTCATAATAATATATAATATAGCGTGTTACATAGCTATAAATAGTATAGGCACATATTATTCTATTTTTGTGAATACTTATATACAGAACTGTACAAAATATGTAAGTGTATAATATATGCACAGAATAAAATATGATAATATAATATATTATAATGTAGAATAGAATTATAATGATATGCTATATATACGAACATTATAGAATGTGATTTAACAAAATTTATTTTATATGTAGATACATCAATTATTTGAAAATAAAAATTTATAATAAAAATTACAGTACTGAACTGAAGTTTATGTCATCACTAATTAACTATTATACTAATTGAATACCAATTCGTATGATCTGACTGAACATTATAGAAAAGAGTGTAATAAAAAACAAATCTATAAAAACAAACAGTTTTTTAAATTTTTATGTGCTAATTTCACTCTGTATTTAATTTGTTCAATTTATTGCATTCAGAAATGAGTTTCAAATAATTATTCAAAAATTCCTCATAATATTATAATATTGTAGAGAATCAAAATTACTTTTAAAGCAATGTAAATTAATTTTCCAATATGGTAATTTCTAAATGTTTAATGTATAGAACATATATATTATGAAATTCAAATTGAGATAGATCTAAAATTCTATGAAAGCCTATTGCAGAAATAAGTACTCGTACTGCAATAAAATAATTCATTTAGAATATTTGAACAAAAAACTAGATATACTACGAAAAATTAGGTAGACTTTTTTCAGATGACAACGTTCAGTTAGTCATGTTTAATTACTTAAAATCTCCATCATTTTAATTTTTTCAAAAGATCCCTTTATCATTTGGAAAGATTTCACAAGTGCCCTCTTAATCAGTATAATTTAAAATATATCAATTGCTAATTACATTATAATAATTTAAGGATAATCTTTATTTTTTTATTTCAAAGGTTT